TCCTAAGTCTCTCCAGTGTGTCTTTATTGGTTATTCTCCTACTCAACGTGGCTATAAGTGTTATTCACCCTCTCTTCGTAAGGTCTTTGTCTCTATGGATGTCACTTTTTCTGAGAATGACCCTTTCTTCCCCTCGACTTCTCTTCAGGGGGAGTCTATAGGAGTAGATGAAGATCAGTCATGGGAACCTATTAATGCCACAGTATTACCTCTACTTTTGGAAACAGGGGGAGCTACAGAATCCTCACCATCAGGAGCCTCCTCAAAATGGGGACAAGTTTATAGCAGGCGAAAGCCTCCTCAAAGTGTGAATAACCCAGAGCCTCTACACTGCCAGGATTCTGAACCATGTTCTAGTTCCAGCACCCCAATACTTGAGTGTCATGGTGAAAATGATCTACACTTGCCCATTGCTCTCAGAAAAGGTACTCGATCTTGTACTACTCATCCTATTTCTAATCATATTTCATATGGAAAGTTGTCCCCAGGGTTTCGTGCTTTCAATACTATGTTGGATAGTACAAAGATACCGAGAAATATACATGAGGCTCTCAATGATAAAAAATGGAGGGATGCTGTCTTTGAAGAAATTAATGCTTTAGAAAGAAATGGAACTTGGGAGATAGTGACCCTACCCAAAGGAAAAAAGGCAGTAGGATGCAAATGGGTGTTTACAATAAAATTCAATGCAGATAATAGCATCAACAGATACAAGGCAAGATTGGTTGCAAAGGGTTTCACTCAGACTCATGGGATAGATTATCATGAGACTTTTGCTCCGGTTGCTAAAGTCAATACCATCCGAGTTCTCTTATCTCTTGCTGCCAATCTAGATTGGCCTCTGCAACAGTTAGATGTGAAGAATGCATTCCTAAATGGTGACTTACATGAAGAAGTCTATATGGATCCTCCACCTGGTTTTGAAAGGGGAAATGAATCAGTGTGTAAACTAAAAAAGTCTCTATATGGATTGAAACAGTCTCCCAGAGAATGGTTCGACAAATTCACACAAGCAGTCAAAAGAAGAGGCTTCATTCAAGCACAGACTGATCATACTCTCTTCCACAAACACTCTAAGGATGGTAAAATTGCTATTCTTATTGTATATGTAGATGATATAATTCTTACAGGTGATGATATTGAGGAATTGAACACCTTGAAGAAATTTCTAGCAGCTCAATTTGAACTCAAAGACCTTGGCACTCTCAAATATTTCCTTGGTATGGAAGTTGCTAGGAGCAAAACAGGCATCACTCTAACACAAAAGAAATATGTTCTAGATCTTTTGTTGGAAACAGGAATGTTAGGGTGTAAACCTGCTGAGACACCTGTGGAACCTAATACCAAGTTAGGTATTGAAGATGGGAATGAGGTGGATAAAGAACAATATCAGCGATTGGTTGGTAAACTAATCTACTTATCTCATACGCGTCCTGACATTGCCTTTGCGGTGAGTATGATTAGTCAATTCATGCACTCACCCAAGGAGAAGCATCTTAGTGCAGTCTATAGGGTGCTTAGATACCTCAAGAATACTCCAGGAAGAGGATTATTCTTTAAAAAGGGGTATAAAAGGACAATTGAAATCTACACTGATGCAGATTGGGCAGGCTCATCAGTAGACAGAAGATCTACCTCAGGCTATTGCACCTATGTGTGGGGAAATCTTGTTACTTGGAGAAGCAAAAAGCAAACAGTGGTTGCAAGAAGTAGTGCTGAAGCAGAATTTCGAGCTTTAGCTCATGGAGTTTGTGAAGGAATCTGGTTGAGAAGACTTCTTCAAGAGTTGAAGATTTCATATTCCCTACCAATAAAACTATATTGTGACAACAAGGCAGCTGTTAGCATTGCTCAAAATCCTGTGCATCATGATCGAACAAAGCACGTGGAAGTTGATCGTCACTTCATCAAAGAAAAATTAGATGATGGAAGTGTGCATTTGATATATGTTCCAACCAAAGAGCAAACGGCAGATGTCCTTACCAAGGGCCTACACCGTCCAGCATTCGAAGACTTGATTGGCAAGTTGGGAATGATCAATATTTACCTCCCAACTTGAGGGGGAGTGTAGAAAATTAGAATTCAAACATGTTTCCGCTTTTTTTTCCTATTAATTAGGATTGATTATGATTGATTAGGATTGATTATGATTGATTAGGATTAATTGTGATTGATTAGAATTGATTGTGATTAGGATTGTGATAGGATTGATTAGTCATCGCTTAGTCATTCTTAGCGATTCTTTCTTGTATAAATACTCACTCATGTAATTTATTCAATATCAATATACAAAAACTTCTTTTCAATAGTAACAATTCATACAAAAATAAAGAAAATATTGTATATTCCTTATTCTTTCGATTACAAGATTGCAGCAAAAATAGGGAATTAGGGAAGAAACTGTACAGTAAAGGCTGTAAACTAATCTTGGCCTAAGAAAAAAAACTAGGTAATGACTCTGTCTGTAAAACGGAATAAGAATTGGGTACTGATTCTGTCAGTAGAGCAGAATTCTATAAGATTCAGTCGAACTAAAAATAACCTATCTATTCCTAAACATCAGGCTAAAAATCAGGAAATGATCACCAACACTCCCGCTCAATGTCAGCGGTAGATATCTATCATGCCGAGATTGGATCTCAGGTTCTCATAAGTAAGCTTTGCACTTGGCAAGGGCTTACAAAGGGATGGGTGTGCTACTCTCTCTTGGTGCTCCCACTTATATCTGTGTAATTTTTATCTCTCAGCTTCTAATTTTTCCTCTCCTCCTTTTATCCCCCGTTCCCCACCTTGCCACTCCAAAAGATTAAGAGTAACTAAACATGAACTAAAATAAGATCAACAAATAGAATCCAGCCAGCCATGGCCCAAGTCCAGGAAACATGAAAATCATGAAAAACAGACATGAAGTTAAATATTAAAAAAAAAAAAAAGTTGAAACATCCTGGCAGCCTGTTAAACTTCTATTGCATCAATTAGGTTGAACTCATAAAGGTATATCAAGGTTCCTTGAAAGTTCGCTGGGCATTAGACTTGATAAGTTTGAAGCATTTTATATGAAAAGAATATTCTCAATTTGCCTAAGCCTTAGAACTGTAATGCTTATATGCTGCAATGTAGTTTTTTTCAGAGTAAACTGATGCTTATATTCTAGCTATGAATTTGGATGTGTTGGGATCAAACTGTGGTCATAGTTTTTATGCGGGTGATTTTGTCAATGACAAAAATTTGCATTTGAATTCCATGAGGTTTAACACTCGTTTAAGGGATCACTTAGGCTTTGTTTGGGAATAAAAAAGTGGAAAGAAAAAGGTATAATAGAAATGGTAAGGAGTTAGAATGAAGGGATGAGAAATGACAATCTTTTTCTTGCTTAGATTTTTAAAATAAAGGGAAAGAAAATAGAGGTAGAGCATGTAAGTTGTAATTCCCAAATTTTTGAGAAACTCAAAATGGAGGCTTGAGGTGAATTGGGTTATACATATTAATGCTTACATAAAGCACACAGAACTTTTAGCAACCTTTTACTTTCTTTCAGCTTCCCCTACCATTCCATTGAGTAACTACAGAATTTTTTGGGTTGAGCTTTTTATATGGTTTGACATAGTTGAGTTTGATACTTTCTTGAGGATATTTTTGTAAGGTTCTGATAACTTTAGTAACTACAGATTTGCCTATTTAACTTATTAAGAGCTCCTTTGCCCTTTAAGAATAGGCTAGAGAACATCAGGGTGTTAGGAAAACCTATAATATGGTTAAGATATTTTAAATTTGGGGCCAATTTTTACGGTTCCGAGAGTTTGAGTCTTAGAACAGCTTTTTTTGCACAAAATGCAAGGGAAAAGCTACATACAATTAACTCTAATCCCTATTCTTGCAAAATCTGGGAGTTTTGTGCACTGGGATTTTCCCTTTGGCTTTGATGACTAATAACTAAGGAAAGTGACTCTGGCCTTTAAGAACAGGCTAGAGAACAAGAGGGTGTTAGGCACAAAGTTATCAAATGCGGATTGCGGCATGTCGCGGCCAACCCCGAAAAACGCTATAGCGGGTTACAGTTGCAGAAATAACGGAATAGATATATAACAGAAATAATGACAAAAAAAACATTTTTTAAAGACAAAGGTAGCAGAAGTGACAGAGAGAGACGCAGATAGACTAAAAAACCCTTGAAAATTTTCTGTTACATATTTAAATTTAGGACAAAATTGAGATTTTGCCTTATAATAGCAAGATGGTCGCGATTTGGCCACAAATGCGATCGCAATGACTGTTATTGCATTCCGGTGCAGCGCGGTGCGGTTTCTTGAGGCAAGGCACTGCAACGCCCATACGGCGCGACTCGCGATGCTATTGCTGCGCAATTAACTTCTATGGTTAGGCAAACCTATAAAGTGGTTAAAACCACTTCCCATAATCCTGACTAGCAAGGATAGTGGTTAGGGCAATCCTTATACGCAGCCTTACCATTGCATATTTACAAAGAGGTTGTTTTCTATAATCAAACCTGTGATCTTTCGGTCACAAAGAAGTAGCGTTGCCACTCCTCCAAACTCGCCCTCTTAAACCTATAATGTGGTTAATATTTTTTAAAATTTGGGGCCAGTTTTTTTAATCAGTTTTGACCACTAATAACTGAGGAAAAGTCCTTTTGATTTTGGGTCTACCAAATAACAATGACGTATTTATACAGTTTTTAGCTACCTTTAGCTCTTTATATGTAATAGATGATGTACTGCATTATAGCTTGCTCTTCTGGGAATAAGACTTTATGCAATTTAACTTGTAGTGGTTTTTCTACCTGTCATTTGCTTTGATGCATTATGTAAAGATGCTTCTTCTTTGTTCATTGTCTGCCCTGGAATGTTTGTTAAAACTTTAGTTGAGCGATATTAGTTTTGCCTTGATGAATTGAAATATTGTTTTAATTAATATGATTATGAGGAATGGGAAATAACTTCGTTTGAATCTTTGTTTTGCAAAATTGCTTGGATATATAGATGAATCAACTGGAGTGTTACAAAAGGCTGAAAGTGAATATAAAGGGCACCGCTCATTGTTGATGAGAACTCGAAATCTGCTCTCCACAATGCAACGTCAAGATGTCATGGACAGGTATGGAAAGAAAAAAATAAATGGATTTTATTCTCTGCCCTTTTTATTTGGTCTTCCTAAATCCTAACTGTTAACTCATATTTGAACAGGGTGATACTTGGGGTTGGTTTTTTGTTGTTCGTCCTCGCTGTTCTTTATGTTGCTTCCAAGCGGATTGGACTACTTACCTTGCAGAGAAAGGTTATTGAGGCCATAAAGGCTGGTGTGGTGGGGCAGGCAGAGCTAAGACGCCAAGCCGCTGCAGATGACATAAATCTTCATCAAGTCAGAGGTGATCGCGCTCATAATACAGAGGCTCCTTTAGAACAAAGAATACATGATGAACTTTGATACATTTTAAAGGACAGTATCATGATGTCTGGGCTTGTTTATTAGGCTGATTTATTACTGTGTTTGAATTTTTCTTTATTTAGTTATTTAAGATAGAAGCCTTACAACATAAGAAAAAGAGGTTCCATACTTGTTGGCAGAGTGAAAATGTTTAAGAGAAATCTTCGGAAAGAATGAGTTCTCTTTGCTTGCAATTTCAGTGTGTTACATGTTTGTCTGCAGCACATCGACACTATTCAAAATCTGAAACATGAAATTTGACACAGCATTATATAATTACATGGGTGCCATTTGATTTTCATGATATATTTATGAAAAGGAAAAAGTATGTATCATTTTAAAAGATATACAGTTATGTCATTTTAAGTGAGAAAAAAAGATAAATCATGTAGGAGAGAGAGAGTGGATAAAAAAAAAATGTGTTGTTGTGTTTTTATCTAGTGGTAAATATTCGATCAACATAGATAAAGCAACTTTATTGTTGGGTTCATATTTATACTCCGAAATTTTGTGAGAACGATGAAGCTAACACAATATGGACACAGTCACTTCGGAACCGTACAAGAATATACGAGCCCATTTTCACTGTAATGGCCGTAGATATTTCCTTCTCAAAAACAGAAAAAAATAAGATATAAAAGGAAATAATGGGAATTAATTTTCTCATTTTAGATGAGAAATTTTTTTCATGCTACACACACAATACATGAGTGGAGTTCACAAAAAGATGATAAGACAAAAAAATAAAGATAGAATCCATTCATGTATTGTGAGTATAGTATGAGAAATTTTTTTCATGTAAAATGAAAAAACTATTTTCCTAAAATAAAGGTAAGGATAGTGTAAATGTGTTATTTTTTTTCATATTTGGTAAAGAATATACCGAATGTTTGGTACATCCGTATTATCCAAAATATTTTCAGAATTTACTCCTAGGTTAGTTTTTTTTCTTTTCTAGTGAAGCTACTGCTAAAGATTTTGGGAATCGGAGAAATTGTAGGTATATTGTACGAGTAAATAAACCTATAGCAATGAGGATTATCATTGCTTTTTACAACTAATAAATTTAATTTTAAAATGCTAATTATTCTTAGAATATATATATATATATATATATATATATATATATGATGTGATACTTGTTTAATAACTTGACTCATTAAGTGTATCTAAGAACTTTTTGGACGCCAACAATGTCATATCAAATACAACCAGAGATGCTTCTGAAGGGAAAAGTACTTGTACAGATTCTGTTTACGTAAATTTAATAGACTAAACCAATAAACAATAGACAATAAATCACATGACACAGGTTTTTTAATTATTAAATATAAAAATAATAATAGTATGTTTGCCTTGATTGGCAATTGGGTTTTATATTTATCATTTAACATAATATAACTTCACTTTCCTACACGTATTAAAGAGATGGAGTTCACATGTTTTTCTTTCTCTTTCATCATTTCACTTTCTCTCTCCCTTTTGATGTGAGAGTTGGAAACAACACTTACATTATGTTACATAACACTAATAAAATCTTTGGCTATTCTACCTAATTTGCACATACATGATTAGGGGTGTTCAAAATATCTAAAAAAATCAAACCGATCCATAACTAAACTGCTCCAAATTTTAAAAATTGATTATTTTTAAAAATTGATTTCATATGAAATTGCATTTTATTTTATAAACTGATTGTTTACCAAACCATAAAAATAATTGGTTATCCATGGTTATCCATAACTAAACTTCTCTACAATTAAAGAACAAATAAGTATTATTTTTTATCATGCCTATTATATTTGTCAATTGACTCAAACTTCCAAACAATAAACTAGCAAAAAAAGTTAAAGAGTTCAAGTAGAAAATATTTATTTAAAAAAAAATTCACATAAATCGAAAGATCGCGTTATAAATGTAACGTAACAATTTTTTTTTTCCAAAAAAAAATGACAAAGGCGAAGGCTCGAATCATGTAGAGAAATTTAGAGTCTGCCATGGTGCATGAGCATATTTCAACATTCTAAAAAATATCACTTTATAAAACCTAAAATAACACTTTATGTACGCTACAATTTTTTCATACTCAGTGGAAAATCATCGAAAGACCCATTGTAAACTTATCTTTGGGTAAATACAGAAAATTTCATTCTCAATGCACTACACTATCAAGAATTATCAACCTTATAGTGGGCATTCATGTACAAAAGTCCCATTTTTCCTACATATAGCATGAATAAAAGCACATGTTGGCTTATTACAAAAAATTTAACAGCAACTAATTCCAAAACAATGAAAGTTTTTGCAAGAAATAATTGGTCAACTACCTATAACCGGAAGAAACAGACGACTACATAAGACCTCTATTTTTTTGAGAATTTCTGCGAGGAATTAATATCACACAAGGGTTTGAACTGGCGTCTTTGTGGGGTACGAACCAAATCCTTAGCCAATTGTATTCACCTTTATTGGCGTTTTGATCGTATTTTGTTAAATAAAAGATATACATATTATTTTTTTTAGGAAGATTATACTTACAATCTATTTTCGTTTACAACCTCTTACAACCATATCTTAACCTTTAATTTCTGTCATCAACGGTTATTATTTATTACGAATTAATAATTAATTTAATGAGTTTGATTTGCAAAAATAATAACCGTTGATTGACGAAAATCAATGATTAAGATAGGATTGTAAGAGGTTGTAAGTATGGGTGTTAACGGGCCGAGCCGAGCTTTGGTCCTAAAAGGCTAAGCCTGTGTTTAGATGTCAGCCTGACAAAGTCGGTTACCTATTATAAATATAATTATTGGCCTACGGCCTGATTTATTTACAAAAAATAAAAGCCTGATTTAACCTGTTTAAAAATATAAGACAACAAAAATTTATCCAAACAGAATATACAATCAACAACACTAGTAATTCCATAAATATTTAAATTCAATGTATATCCAAACAGCATAATGTAAAAAAAAACTCATTCAAAAAGTCTGTTTAACCAATAAAATGGGGTGAAATAGATTGATGAGAAAGAGAGGGCTATTACAAGTAATATAAATATATATATATATATATATATATATATATATATATATACACACTAGGCCAGCCTGAGAGGCTCTAAGGCCGAGCTTTTTTATTAAACGAGCTTTTATACAAGTTCAAATCTGGTGCCAACAACCAATTTTAGACATGTAAGCTCAGGCCTTCACGAACCGAGGCAAGGCCCCTGCTTCATTTAACACCCCTAGTTGTAAGTATAACCTTTCAATTTTTTTTAACTATTTCCCTTCTTTTCTCAAAATATTCACCATTTGGACCCAAATTTTCTAAACTAGTTTTTAGTAATAACTTTATTTGAATATAAATATTTTTACTCTAAAAGTCAATGTTATAAAAACCGGGTCGACCCGAAAATCGATGAACCGATCATGTAACCGGTCCGATTTTCATATTGGACCGGCCATGTTACAGAACCGGTGTGACCCTGATACGGGCCCAATGTGCAATAGCCCAATAGAAGAGTTGAATGACCCAACTATCCAAGTCGGTGATCAGAGTCCAAGGGAAGTACACCAAACTGCAGAAGTTACAAAAACAACACTGACAACAGCTGGGGGCAAAGAGATGGAACCAGAGTTACATGCAGTTATTGAAGAGGAAGAGGAACTGGATGGACAAGAACTAGAGAGGCCCATCGCAACAAGAAAATCCAAGAGAGTGATCAGAAGACCAAGGAGATTGGATGATTAGGCATAGCCAACAGTAATGATTGTGTACATGTGGTTGTATCATTAGGGGTTCATAACAGATAGTGAGTTAGTTACATGTTGTTGTTTTACTTTCTGTTTGCTGTTGAAATTCATTGAAGGTATAAAAGGGGAAAAACCAGTGTATGGAGAATTCAATTTTTGATGAAATAAGAAAAATTACTTCTTTCTCTGTTTTTTCTCAACCTCTTCTTCTTCCTTGATAGAACTTGAATCTATCAATTGGTGCTTTCATTCTTGAACAATGGCGCCGGACACCCGTCTAAATCGATTGATGATCGATGGGAACAAACTCAATCTGATGTAGAGATTCTCAAAGAGCAGATGCAGCGGCAATACATGGAGATCACATGCAAACTGGATGCTATTTTTTACAACTACAGAGAACGTGAACCGTTTCAGTCCTCTGCACATCACCATTCATCTGGTTCGAAGGAGCTTTAGGCAGCCAAGAACCTACGCATCAAAGTTCCTCGTTATGATGGTTCGCATGACCCACAGGATTGGATCTTCAAGGTCAACCAATTCTTCGATTTTTATGAAATTGTCGAAGAACAACGTCTCAGAGTGGCTCCATTCTATTTCGACGCGAAAGCCTTGGCTTGGTACAAGTCGTTGCATAAAAATACGTCCATTTTATCGTGGGAAGGGTTCTTGCAGTCCCTCCAAATTCGTTTTGGTCCAACGGAGTTAGAAGATTACCAAGGAAAATTAGCCAAATTGCTGCAGAAAGTTTCGGTGATGGATTACCAAACGGAGTTTGAAACCTTGTCCAATAAGGTAAACGGTCTCTCTGAATCGTTTCTCCTTAGTTGCTTTATATTTGGGTTGCAACCACAAATTCAACATGAGGTTTCGGCCTTCCAACCCTCTACCTTGACTAAAGCTATAGCCTTAGCCAAGATCCAGGAACTGAAACTACAAACCAAATCCACATATCCCAAATTACATTCTCATACCCACCACTCTTACCTACACCACCCACTCAAATAACCAATCCTAAACCTGTCACCACTGTAACATCCAATTCCCAGACCAAAACACCCATCCATCGTCTTAGCCAAAGTGAAATTCGGGAACGAAGAGAAAAGAAGTTATGCTTCTATTGTGGAGATAAATACTTCTCTGGTCATAAATGTACAGCTTCAATCCATGTCCTCATTGTCCCAGATGATGAACTCAGCGAACCTGAACCACCACCCTTAGATACACCTAACCCTTCCATACTGGAAATAGAAACCAATAACACAGACTCTCCCCATATTAGTTTTCATGCTTTATCCAGATTCCTTGTTCCACAAACCTTACGTTTCACTTGTCATATTGGGAAATCCGAACTCTCCTTGCTTGTTGATGGGGGCAGCACCCATAATTTTTTGCAACCTAGAGTAGTCTCCACTCTTAATATGTCAATGACTACAGATAGACAATTTGATGTAATGGTTGGCAATGGACAAGTATTAAAATGTGAGGGACCATGCTCAGCTGTCCCAGTTCAAATCCAGC